AAGGAGATAAGAGAATTTCATGTAGTATTTCACTGTCTTAAAGATTTGAGACAGTATGGCATGTTTGGGGACAAAAGCATTTACCCTTGAGGAATATGAGGTGCAAAGAGGCCACATCAGTAAAATAGCGAAGTTAAATAACAGGGGCCAGGTCATGAGCCATTGACCTTGTATTTAAATTGTACAGATAAAATAGTATTGAAAATGTATTCTTACATAATTGATACATATAAGACAGAGAAATATACACAGACATATACATACGTATGTATAACTTTTTAATAAATGAAAAATTAAAGCCATAGTTCTACATTCAATATAAATAGTAATAGCATAAAACTAGTAAGAAGGTTATGCTAACTAAAATTGGCTTATTATGGAGTTATGTCTTTTCTCTTTGTGCATTAGCCAGACATATATGATTTATGGCTTAACTATTGTTGTGAATTGCTTTTTTTCTTTATTAATATAGATGTTTTAGAGTTGGCTATAGGATAATTCCTTAAACGGAAATAAATTACTGTGTAGTATTTTCCTTTACATTAGTGTTTATACTCATCAATAGAAAAGAACATAATGAGCAAATGAATTAATTTCTTTGCCTTAATTGTTTGGACAATCCAGTTACTTATAATTTTTAAGATAAGTTAACATCTCCAGTTTTTGTTTCAATATTTTTTAACTTATGCTAATTTAAAATAATAACAATAATTTAATAATAAAATAATGAAAATAAAATAATTTTAGTTCTCCTGTTACTTAACTTTTAAAATATACTTTGTTTTACATGGATCCCTAGTTATTAAGAGAAATTTTATGAAAGAGGAACTTTAGGTTCATGTAATGCAATATTCTATATTAGGTAACATTCTCACATGCAGAGCTTTTGCATGTACATGTATTTACTAAGACATCTGTGTATAGAATGCTTTTATGTGTTTGCTATTTGTAACATGATGTCAAAAATAACATAAGTGAAGTGTAATTTTAGATTTGGCTTCATTAATCTATAATTTGGTGGCAATTTTTCTTCTGAAACTTTTAAATTTTGTGACATTTTAATGTTTTCATAGAAAATAAGCATACTCGTATATGTCTATCTTATCCAGCTTTACATATAATTCACATTTATAATCCAGGGGGTTCTGGTGGTTTGTGGTATTCGCTTGTTAATTTCTTGATGAATGGCTAAAGAGGCCAAGAAGTGCACTTGGTCCGACATGTCTTCTGAAGATAGATGATCTCAAATAAATTCTCTTCCCAATCAGATTTTGATTTGTTGGATGTTAAACCAATTCTTTCTAAAGACAGTGTTTACAAGCCTTGTAATGAGACAGCCCTTTGAGACCTTACCTCTTTTTGCCTATAATTTTGATGAATGAAACTCTAATTCATAAAGGATATTGTGATTGAAAAGCACCTTTAGATCTCATACACTTTAATTTAGATAAATGTTTGGTGCTGTACCATAAAATCAGGAAGTTTACTGAGCTGCAAACTGATAATACTTCAACAGGGATGATAAGTTTAGTATGTTGATATGGATTAGTTTACTACATATTTTTTAATGACATGATTGTTTTACTGCTTTAAAACGAGAGGAAATAATATTGAAAGTTTGATATGCATTTCAAAGCTCACCTTCCTTCTACTACATTTTCTTTATTGGTAGATTTTTATTTTGGTAACATAAGAGTAATGTAAAGTTTTGTTTTGCTTTGTTTTTTAACTGACAGAACAGATTACACATGGTTATGATACAAGGAAAAAGTTGCTTTATTAGGCTGACTCACACTTAAAGGACTTTATTGACTTTCATTTAAAGAATTGTTCCCTTTCATTCATATAAATACATAGATTCTCCAGTTCACCCCAAACCGAAGGCAAATCACTAAGACTCAGATATTTGGGGAACTTCAGATTTAGAAATACCCAAAGGTAAACTGTTATGTCTCAGTTTATTCATTTGTTCAGGCTTTATGAGGGCTTATTCTGTGCCAGGCAGTGTGCTAAGTATTGAGAATACAAAGACAACAGCATGTTTCTAGTCATCAGGGAGCTTCCAGGCTATTGTGGAGATAAATAAGCAAACAGGTACAATAACTATAAATACTATAGTGGCAGCATTTATGAGGTGTGGTGGAAGCATAAAGGAAAGAGCACACAGAATCTACCTTAAGAAACCAGAGAAAGGAACAGGGTCGGGGGTAAACCTGAACTTCAGCAAATGTATGTGGCGCACCTGCTGGGTACCAGGCACTGAGGCTATAGAAATGAGGCTACAGCCTAGTGGAGAGGACAGACACATACTGATAACACCTATACAGTGTGGTTGAGTTCTGTGTAAACTGTGAAAGCACGGAGGAGTGAATTAGAAAAGGCACTTGAAGGAAGTAAATTTTGAAGTGCATGTAGGAATTAGCCCTATGAAGGAGGAAGGCAGGAACCTGCCACGCAGAGGGAATAACATCAACTGAGGTAAAGAGGTATGTGAAAGGATGACATATTTTGGAAGCTATAAATATTCTAGTATTGCTGAGGGGGGAGAAGTGAAAGATAAAGCAAAACTGGTAATTAGAAGATAAAAGACCCTGGTCAGCCATGCTAAGGAGTTTAGATCTTATCCTACAGTATAAAACATGCATTGCCTGTTGTTGAATGGGAGGAGTTAATAAACAATATTAAGCAGGAAAGTATCCTCAATTGATTTGTGTTTTATAATAATCACTGTGACAGAAGCATGGAGGGTTGTGTAAGTAAGGCAGCTGTTGAAGCCATCTAGACCAAAGTGATGATGGCTGGACTAGGGCAGTGGCAGTCTCTAGGCAGGATGAATCCTAAGTATTTGGCTTAAGTAAGGGGGTTAATCAAAAGGAGAGGAGAAGCACGAGACAATTAGCTCAGTTAGGGAAATGTTTAATTAGTAATATCCAGGTATATGGCTATAAAGAACTCAGGAGAGACTTCTGGATTATTAATCATTGGATTTGCCTCTTTTGTTCTCAGGTGATCCAAGCTCTGAGTTTCTCAAATTAAGTTACTACCCAAGAACCAAACAAGTTGTAAAGATAGCCACCCTCAGAAGATTACCATTGTGCTGGTTTTATATCACCAGAAATCAAATAAAATTAAGATAAGGTTCTGAAGCATTCAGCGATCTATCCACAGTCTTTAATTAGAGAGATATGAATCAGCTATGGACCAGTGAAAGAAGAATACACATATAAACCATTTAATTTCCCTCACCTCCAATGCAGTATTGATTTGTATTAATATTGTCCCTGAAGTATTTATCAAAATATATTTAATAGTCTATTACTTTATACTGTTAAGCTATATATTAACCATCTAAATACTATTATTCAGTAGGAGCTAGGATGACAGACTATACTTCTGAGTCAATGACACTCTGTAATGGTATTGTGTGTGATATGACTGTATTCCTCAACATGTGTTTTTACTCCTTTATCGGCTTTCTTTGATTCCATTTTTTAAAGTTTTTGCAAACAGTTGGCCTACAGTCACTGACAAAAAGAAGTATGCAAGCTGCAGAGGAAAAAGAAAATAGCTAACACTCTGTTTTACAACACAAGTTTTATGGCAGCTAGATGGCCTTCCAAGAAAATGGTTGAGCAAACATCAGCCAGCAGTCGTGGACTGTTGGAAGTCCTATCGTATGGGCCTGGGAGAATTGGTCACAAACGTGTTATGAACTGTAACTGGAGAGAATTTTGGCCAGAGGCAAGATATGATTTGGAAAGCAGTTGCTTGTGTACATGACACCATACATCCTCTAGAACTATAATACAACAACACTGTGTAGTACTGATTTATTAGGTTCCCATTTCCAACAATGTATCCACCACACCAGATAAGATATGAAGATGTTTTTCTAGTTAATGCTGCACCTTGAAGTCTATAACCTAAAACTGTAGCTATAGCACAACAATCTATTCCAGATTTCAACTTCAAGTTGTATGAAACAGAGGTTTTTCTTATTTGTGTGTGTGTGTGTATATGTATGTATGTATGTATGTATGTGTGTGTGTATAAAATTTGGTCGCAGTTCAGATAATTTTAGATTCATTGTCACCTGCCTAAGCAGGTGTTTGAATGTAAATATGGAAATATCTGTATGTATGTATGTGTGTGTGTATAAAATTTGGTCGCAGTTCAGATAATTTTAGATTCATTATCACCTGCCCAAGCAGGTGTTTGAATGTAAATATGGAAATATCTGTTAAGCAGTTTAATTCGTAAGGGATCCAAATGCATTCATTTCTAGCCTTTACATTGATTGACATGTTAATGCCAGGTCAAATTTTGCTGTATTTCCACTTTTCAGCTTATTTTTGCATGTCTCGATTTTGGCTTTTTGTATTATTTTATGTAGCAAAATAAGGATATCATTTCAGCAATCAGTACTTATGTCATTAGCTGCTAAGGATATGGCTACTGTGAAGTAGGTTTTAGGTCTCCATCATTCCTTTCGGTAGCTTCCCAGTGACAGCCATTTTTCCCCTCAGATGTGAATGCTGTCCTGTTTTCTTCACACCGATCTCATCTACTGTCAAAAATGATCTGATCAATTGAATAGCTACTTCAAGCAAAAGTAAAATTGTGTAAAACTGTAACTTTATGAATCAGAAAACGAGTTTGGGGTGAGGTGCAGATTTTTTGTTGAATGTGCATTGATCTTGTAGTCATAAGCTATGGATTATGAAGTCCTTTCTCTACCACCAGCCAACTCCTAGGCCCCTCAACAATGCATGTAGCTTTCTCAGCCTGTTTCCTCATCTGTAAAATAAGGGCAGGTGATTACATCCCCGCCATTGTTCTCACAGAAGACCAAACAAGATAAAGTAAAAAATGTTCTAAAATTGTGAAGTAATTTGTAAATTCAGCATATAATTATAAGAAAGTAATCAATTATTTCAAATACTCACTAAAAGTAAAAACAATCACAATGACCTTAATTATTATATTTTGGTTATGATTAGGCACTGAAGAAGATGTAGTAAAGTCAAAGAAAACATTCAGAAGTCAAGCAATAGTGAACCAGAATGCAGAGACAGAACTTATGCTGGAAGGAGATGATGATGCAGTCAGTCTGCTACAGGAGAAAGAAATTGACAATCTTGCAGGTAAATTTTTAAATATTTTTCTTCTATTTGTTACAATAAATACACACAAAGTTACTGAATCTAAAATCTATATCCTGGTGAATAAATGTGTTCCAGTGGTTGTAACAATGCTCAATCATGTGAATGTTAATAATTTACTTTATCTCATTTCTAGTATTGAAAAGAGGACCTCACATGTGTGTTTTACTGACAGCAAATGAATAACATCAACTTTCTATGTAATGAAGAACAACTCTTCCTATAGGAGAAATAATACATAGTATAAATTGTTTACATGTACCTGCCTGTATCACTGGAGATGGGACAGGAAAATAGATTCATTGACTTATGTATGTCTCTAACATTCTAACAGCCATGAAAAATAGGCCCTTTAGCCAGGTGACCATTGAGTTTCCCATTTCCTCCCTGCTGCCACTCTTTGGATTGTCCCTCACCACTCCTGTTTTGTTCTCTAGCCTCACACTGCTAATTGCCCTCCTCTAGGAGGAGACATTCTTCCCCTACCACCCTCAGTTTCACCTTGTCCTGGTGCTGCTCTAAGGTCAATTCTGGACAGTATCTGCAATGACCAGATGGGACATGGATACCTTACAGTATTGGCTCACAACCTTTTTTGGGTTTCAAACCACTGTGAGAATTTGATGAAGCCAGATTGCTTCATGAAGATGCACATATAATTTTATACACAATTTCAGAGCATTCACTCACCCCTAGAAACCAGTCTGTGGAATCATATCCTAGATCTCAAGTTAAAAACTCCTGCTTTAGAGTCTCCAAAAGTGGCTGAGTCTCGCTTCAATTCTTTATTTTCAGCCCATACAACTTTGGGATGGCATGTGGCAGTAGAGAGAAAGACTTATATTTATCATTCTGTTTGCAGAATCACACAGTTCTGTTTCTAGTATCATACTGAAAATTAGCTGGCATGGCCTTGTGAAAGCCTCCAGAGGTTTATTTCTACTAGTTAGAGATTTCTCCTTTTACCAAAGAGAAGATGTTACTATTAATTGTAAACTGGAGATGGCACATTAGTCTACATTTTCTAGATTAAGAAAGTATTTAATAAGATTATTCTAATGCCAGTTCCTGGATATGCCTATGTTCATGTATTATGTATATAGTATCATGAAAACTATTTTCCTATTTAAAAGTAGTCTTAAGTCTATGACCAAATGTTTGCCTCAAATTCCTAAGTAAATGTTCAAGTTTTGGTTTTGCTGTTTTTTTTTTTTTTTTCCTTTTTGTCTTTTTTTCGTGTCTGGCAACGGATCGCAACCCTCAGTGTCGCGCCCGTACCGGACCGGGACCGGCAACAGGATCGCAACCCTCGGTGTTGCTCCCACACCTCGCTCAGCCAGTGAGCATGAACCGGTCTGTATGTGGGATCTGAACCCTTGGCAGGAGCACCACCGCGCTCCCAAGCGGCGCACTGTAGCAGTGCGCCACCGGGCCGGCCCTGGTTTTGTTGTTTTTGTGGTTTGGTTTTTTTTTTTATTAGCTCAGATTTTGTCTGAGGCCATTTGGATATTTAAGCAGAGGAAGTTCTTTGATTCTATTTGCCCACAGGTGTGTTTTCTCTTTTCCTGGTCTCATCCTTGATCTTACAAAGAAAATTCACAAATATGATTCCTGACCTTTTTAAATAATGTGTTGCTCTTCTTCATTCACATATATCAACAGATATGTTTAATAATTGTAAAATTTAGTATAGACTCTCTGGTCCTTTATTCCCAATAAAAATAATTAGTTGATACAAATTTGCCTAGTCTCTTGAAGTATATTA